GAGGGCAATCTGAAGTCAGGACAACAGTATCCAAGCCTCAGCTCCACCCTGGACCTGTTAGGAAGAAAATCAGTCTTGGGGCAGGAGAGAAGGTTCAGCTGTTAAGATTTGGATTCAACAACACCAATGCACACAAAATAAAAACAAACCTTAAAAGGAAAGAAAAATCAGTCTTTATGCTACTTTTTACTTTAAGGACCCAGGAAGGAGGCCACAGGCCAGGATCTGAGGCTCATAACATGAAGAAGAAATAGGAATTTTGGTCTGGCCTGAGCAACTTGGGTTGTCAGCACCACTTATTAAAGGCTTGGTGAGGTATGGAAATCAAGTTCCGTTCTGGAACTCTGGGGATGGCATGGTCAGTAAAGTGCTTGCCAAGCATCATGTCCTATGTGTGATCCCTAGAACCCTTGTTGGGCATGGAAAGGTGTGCTCATAATCACAGCACTGAGGAGGCGGAAACCGGCAAATCCTGGAGCTCAATGGCTAGCCACATAAGTCTAATCTGAAACCCCAGGCCAGTCTCAAAGACCAGTAGGAGGTACCTGAGAGTGATAGCCAATGTTGATACTGTTTCCACATACATAAACTGCACGTGCAGCTACCCCCCCCCCCATTGTGCTTTGAATACATTATATCTGACATTATCCGGAGGGAGAACCTGTGGCCTCCGTTGGGCTAGAGCATTTCCTGACCCAATCCTCTTAGTTCAGAAACAGACACTCAACTCCTACTGAATACATTAGAACTCACCCTGGGTTCTTCTGCATGGCTGCTAGTTGGGAGGAGGCCATTCTGGCTACCCTACCAGGCCAGCATCTATCTGCTTACAAATTAAGACAACAGACAAGGAAGATGGAAAGAGGGAAAGGAACAGTTCTAACTAGATACTACTAGCAGCTAGTTCCAACTATCTCTAAAGCCACAGTCTGGAACTTTACAACAACATGAGGAAACACACGCTCATTTTGTTGACACTAGTTTTAGTTGGTTTCTGTCTCTTGTAATTGAAAATCATCACCAATTCAGACTCCTAATAGGATATGCTTGAATATTTTTAGCCTTGGTGAGAAAGATGCACTATTTCAATCTCTCTAGCTATTTTATCCATGGAGAAATACCATATAGTTTTTGGTTCCAAATTTTATTTCAACTACTTTTACTCAAATCCTTTTAAAAAGGATTTATGTGTATGGTATTTGGCCTGTTATGTATGCCTGTCAGGTCCCCTAGAACTGGAGTTACAGACACTGTAAACCACCATACGGGTCCTGGGAATCAAACCTAGGTCTCCTGGGAGAATGCAAGTGCTCTTAAGCATGGGGCCATCTCTATTTATTTTCATTTTGTTCGAGTATCTGTGAGCCATGCATGCCTGGGCTCTTGGACACTTGATGAGGGCATTGGATCTCTTGGTCCTGAAGTTACAGACAGTTGTGAGCTGCCCTGTAGGTGCTGGGAACTGAACCTGGGTTCTCTGAAAGAGCAACCAGAGCTCTTAACTGCGGAGCCACTTCTCCAGATCTTTGTTATTTATTTAGATCTTTACATAGGCCTATCTGGAAATAGCCTGTGAGTCTTGGGCTAATCCCTCCAATTGCTGACACATAGCTAGAACTATTATTTATGGAACACTTACCTTACAAAGAAGTGACTGCTGGGCAGGATTGTGTAAGTACGGACACTAAGTTGCACCTAGTTTTTTCTTGTGCCAATTATTTAACTATCCATTTCGAATGAACAGGTGGTACACTGGGGTGTGGTGATAGTTGTTTATGATCTAACAAATAAAGCTTGTCTGAAGATAAGAGTACAAAGCTAGTCACACTAGTTAGCCACAGAGGCCAGGCAGTGGTGGCAGATACCTTTAATCCCAGCACTGGGGAGACAGAGGCAGACAGATTTCTGTTGGTTCAAGGCCACCCTGACCTACACAAAATTGATCCAATCTAAAAGAGAAATAGAGCTCACACAAAGGATCCCAGCTAGCATTTGGAGTGACACACCTTTAATCCCAGCACTGGGGAGGAGGAGACAGGAGTGATATGGCTGGGAGGAGAGGGGGATATATGGCAGGAGGAGACAGGCGCTCAGAGCAGCCTGAGGACGCAGCCTGAGGATGCAGTCTGAGGATGCAGTCTGAGGACGCAGCCTGAGGACGCAGCCTGAGGACGCAGCCTGAGGACAGGATCACCCCTTTGCTCTGAGCACTGGTACAGGTAAGAACTCTCTAGTGGCTGGCTGCTTTGCTTCTCTGCTCTTCAACATTAGCTCTGATATCTGAGTTAACTATTAAGAACAATTAGAATTTATGTTACACTGGGGGGGCTGGTGAGATGGCTCAGTGGTAGAGATACCTTTGTCATATCTGATGACCTGAGTTTGATCTCTATATGGTGGACAGAATTAATTCTCCCAAGCTATCCTCTGACTTCTACATGTACACCTACACCTACAAAATAATAAATACACCCTGGAGAATAAAGTGTGCAAGGAAATGACAAGGTTCTGTCATAATCAGAGATGGCTTTCTACAGCATTAATATGAACATAGGTAAATGCTAGAACCAGTGTGTCAGGTCTTAGTGCTCCCGGCATTTCATGTTTCAAAGGGTACAGTTAAACCTTTCAAAGGCCTGTATTTTTAAAGGAAATGTTATGTGTGCTTCCATTTTATAGATAAACATGGAGGTAGATGGGCTCTCATGGAAGCCAGACAAGGGCACCATCCCCTATATTCTGGATGGTAATGTCATGTGGCACTGGCAACCAAATCCTGGTCCTCTGGAAGAGCAGCCAGTGCTCTAGCCACTGAGCATCTCTCTCTCCAACCCCCAATGTTTCGTATTTCAGAGAGAATCACATACAGCATTCTGTTAAACAGATATCATATTGCTGAATTTGTCTCAGGTACCAAAGCTTGGCCTTTTCAAACTGGCTTGTCTTTGAGGCTCTACTGTTCTGGTTGCCTATATAAACTATATACTAATGAATAACACAAAGACTACCTTCCCCTAGTAGTTTCTGTGATGAGTAAGTTTGTTTGTAGAAATGAAGGGTTTTAGGAAGAAAAAAATAATAGAGAAGAGAAAGAACTGGAGGTAAGTATGGTGTCATGTGCCTTTAACCCCAGAACTATAGTAGCCGAGGCAGGAAGATAAAGTGGGGTGGGGGTGAATGATGGGATGTGAAAAGATGGAGAGGGAAGGGAGAGGGGAAAGGCAGGTGTGTGTGTGTGTGTCTGTGTGTGTGTGTGTGTGTGTGTGTGTGTGTGTGTAGACAGAAAACGATGGCATTACAAGGGTCAGCATGCAGATAGCACTGATATGCCAGTATTACAGAGGACTTATAGGCCGGGCTCTGTGGTTGGAGACTTGGTATTGATTGAAGATTAAGAGTCAGAGATGGCACAAACCTGTCTCAGAAGGCAGGAGAACTGGGGAACTTGTGGCTAGCCCAGACCACATGGTTAAGTTTCAGCCAGTACATGTCAAGACCCATCTCCAAAACAGACCTGGTGCTGAGGCAGTGCAGCCTCTGAATGACTGTTACCCAGCAGACCTCCTTCCCACACCAGTGTCCGCCATCTGCACACATGCCTTAGGGAAGTAGATTTCCTGAGGTCCAAGTTCACTACTAGAAGAGATCTAGTGTTCTAGTGCAAGAGAGTCACTAAGTACCACCACGTAACAATTATCTGACCAGCACTGGGGAGCTGACTCAGTGGTTAAGAGCCCTGGCTGCTCTTTGAGAGGACCTGGGTTCAAGGCCAGCATCCAATGTATCCCCAGGCACAGACATACATGGATGCAAACATCCACACTCAAAGAGTGAGATGCAGTAACAACAACAAAGCAAAACCGAACTGAAAGTCTGTGGAGATAGGATACACATGTATTACGTCGTGCACACTGGCCCTGGGCTTGTGCTTTTCCTGCTGCAGCCTCTGAGTACCAAGATTACAAAGACACATCACCACACCTACTCCAGACAGACGTTCCCACAACTCCTTCTCTTACATACAAAACGAATAAACCTAACATCCCATGATAAGAACAGGAATTTGCTTTCCCTAGCATTGCTAGAATGTCCCTCCACTGGGCTTATTTTCCTCATGTCTTACTGTATGCACGTTTTATTCTGTAGGAATAGCTTATTTGCTGTCAGTGGCTGGAATGACCTTTTCACGCAGGCATATTTACATATAAAAGTAGCAAAGATAAACACCATTAAAACCAGAACACAGTTGTCTAATAAGTTAGTCTTTAAAGAATATTTTAAGTAGGCTGTGAAGCTGAAGGAAAAAGAAGCTATTAGCTGAGCTGCTAACGTGAAACATTTAAAAGATCTCAGATTAATGTTAAAAATAGATTCCTTTTCTTCATATAAAATCATTTCTGTTAACCTATAATCTTATTACTACTATTAATTTTATGTGTATGGGTGTTCTGCCTGCTTGTATGTCTGTGGATCACAGGCATGCCTGGTGCTTGCAGCAGCCAGAAAGGTGTCAGATCTCCTGACATGGAGTTATAGATGGTTGTAAGCCACTATGTAGGTTCAAGGAGTCAAAGTTGAGTCTCTAGAAGAGCAGCCAATCCTTTAACCACTGAGCCACCTCCCCAGCCCTAACGTTTTATTACTGTGTGTGGACACATGCTCACACACACGAGGGCCTTGGTGTTGGTGTGTGTGTAACAGTCAGAAGACAACTTTCAGGAGGGGCTCTCTCTTTCCAAAGTGGGTTCTGGGGATCATCAGGCACATGCATGAATGCCTTTACAGAGTGAGCCATTTCAGTGGCTCTTAAATGCAACTTAAATCCCAAGTAATGCAGCGGATGTTCGAAAGACATAGCTGCATTAATTAAGACTTGTTTTCTGAGTGTCAACATAAACTGTCATTAGTAGCGGGGATGCAAACTTAATCATGCTTCTCCTTGATAATGATATGAGAATGAAGTAGGGTATACTTAAGGACCAGCATAAACACATACATACCACGGGCTGCTTTGTGATGTCCACTAAATCCTTGAGATTATAGTATTGATGCTTCTCAAAGGCGGAAAACAGCATGTCTAGGACGTGTTGTTTGTCTGCCCGTGCTCGCTTTCCATCTTCTTTCTTCTTCCTTTCATATTCAATCTATAGGCAAAATCAGAAGAAAGGTATCAACTTAACAGAACCAGGACACAGGCATTTCTGTCTTAGTCATCTGAGAACTACATTTAAAGTTCCAAGGTATTTGGCTTCTGGCAGGGGCTCAGAACTGGGGTCTTGTTGCCTCAGGACTTCCAGTAACTTTCAGGCTCTAGGACAGTTATAACACTGCTTTATAAACTATTTCTAGTTCTCTCTTGAAGTTTTATGTAATGTGTTCATTTCCCCCAAGTAGGTTTTCTTCCTGGTTAGCCTAGACTAGCCAGAAACTAACTTGCAGTTCCTCTGATTTTGATTAAACAAAATACAGTGAGATGATTTTATGACATAAACTGCACTTGGTAGGTAACAGCTCGGAGTCCTCCGGCACAGGCTTGAATCAGGGCAGGTTCTCTAACACATGAGAAGGAAAGCACTAGGCTCCTCCCCTCTAACCCCTACTTGCTGCTTTACCTCTATACATGAGGTAGGTTTGACAACATGAAAGGTAAATACACTCAACCAGCAGATTTTTCTGAATCTTCACTTTATCTTATACCAGGTGTCCTCTAAATTTCCCCGTAAAACACACCTCTTCTTCAAATAAAACCAAGACACCAGGACCATGTTTCGTGTACCTACAGTGCTGTACATCTTCACACACAGCAATTGGAAGCAGCTCTCAGCCCTTAGCTAAGAAGCCTCTCTTTTTAGCAGATGGAGACCACTGCAGAAAACTGAAAATGGCCAAAAGCAGAGAGCAACACTATCTGGGGTGCCCACTACCAACAGGTCCATCTGCATCACAACCCAGGGAATGTATCAGCGGAGGGAGTGAAAAGATTATGAAAAGCCAGAGGACCAGGATATCAGTTCTGAGATACTATTTTCAGTAGGAGACAGAGAAGCTGCATCCATGAAATTGGAACACTACGGTCACCTAAATAAAACCTGAATGACACCAGTTGACATGCAACTTGAATGGGGGAAGTCTCAGAAAACTCCACCCATAAGTGAAGATCCACAAGCAACTGACGACTGCTGAGAGAAGAATCAAGTCTTCCCCAGGGATGAGGCCGCTAATTCATTATCCAGTACCAAGTGGTCAGTATATACATATGGAAAAAAAAGTATACAGATGAGCAACACTAAACAGATGCAGCAGGTTGTTTATAAGTATGTATACATATGTACATACACCTGTACACACATATGCACACACGCACGCATGCACATGCACACACACACACAAATATGCACACCAGTTGGGTAAGCTTAGTTTCTTCTTAATGACAAGGCTGAGTAGCAATGTGCTAGAGGAAGGTCAGTCCCTTAGCTCTCTGGGTAACTAAAGATTTGGTGGGCTGGAGGCCAGCAGAGAGGAAGCCTGCACAGGGACTTTACTGCAGTGTGGGGACCAGTTTCAGAACAGCACAAGCACTCAGAGCTATGGTGTAATTTCCAGCCGGAGACACTTAAGCATATGCTCTCTATTTTAAATGCAGTGGTAGGACATCACTGAACTTCCTAGGACAAGACTAGAACACAGAAAAAAAAAAAAAAAAAATTCAAATGCATGCTGCAGATGGAATGGCTGGGGAGGAATAAAGCCTAGGTAGTTTCCAGATTCTCTCAGTGAAAAAGGCCTATTAGTCCAGGCCTGTGATCCCAGCTACTTTGGAGGCTGAGAGAAGACCAAAATTTCAAGGCTGCATGGGCTACAGAACAAATTCAAGGCCACCACAGGCAACTTGGCAAAACTATCTCAATTAGAAAACAAAACAAAATGCTGGGGATAGAGATCAGTGGTAGAATGCTTATCTCAGTAGCAAAAGAAAAAAAAAATGCACACAAAAATGGAGGAGGGGTGTCTTGAAAATAGCATAAAATAGCACACCTATGTACAGCTACGAAAGGTTTAGAAGGATACATGCTTTCTCTGGGTTCAAAAGATGCAACTAAGAGAATGACCATACAGGGGGACAAGAAAGCACGAGTGACCAGGACCTACCCATGAACTAAGCACTATCACAAGTCACCCTCCAGCTTTGTTACCCCCTACACCTCAGACAAGGTTTCTCTGTACTACTTTGGAGCCTGTTCTGGAACTCGCTCTGTAGACCAGGTTGGCCTCAAACTCACAGAGATCTGCCTGCCTCTGCCTCTTGAGTGCTGAGATTAACAGTGTGCAACACCCAGCCACCCTCCAGCTTTAGGAGGAACATAGGAGGGAAAGGGGAGGAACGATGGTGTATTAGCAAGGGCTCCCTTGTTTGAAAGGATTCGAGAAGCTAAAGATCAGTAGGAAAATGATTTCATAATCTTACCAGTAAAGCAAGATGGCTCACTTAGGGAAGGCACACATTCTACTTGGCAATGGTCAGACATTTATGGTTTTTTTTTTTTTTTTCCAGTCCCCAAATCTAGAGCCAGTAAAAGCTTGACTCAAAGGGAAGATTTTAGAATTACAAAAAGTTCAAATTAACACTACAGATTAAAACTTGATTAAATTATAATTAAAAAATGTTAATTAGTAAGAAAATGACCAAATACTACCTAGACTAAAAAAATTCCTGGTTGGCATGTTCTCACCCCAAATATACTGACTGCACAGGTTCTGGTGTTTTCCTTCTTTAAATGAAGGGGAAAGGCACACAAGGCCAGGTGGTGATTCATCAACCGCAACAAGAGATCAAGGTCATCCTCAGCTACAGAGAGAAGATCAAGACTGGCCATGTGCTACATGCTTAAAGCAAAACAAAAACCCCAACCTCCAAAGCAAGTGTAACCCAAACCCAGGTGTCTAAAACAGCAATGATGAAAACAGAGCTAGCAGTTCTCATTAGAGAGCTTTGGGGCATTCGAAATTTGACCATACTTTCAGAAAGGGTAACAGAACAGGTATTTAGTGTCCTTAGAGTGCATACTATATATAAAACCTACAGAAAAAGTCTGTTTTAAAATAAATTGGTTAAATTTGCTTTGGTATTGTCTAAGACAGGCTCATAATCCAGATTCTTTTTTTTTTTTTTTTTTACATAATCCAGATTCTTGTCTGTGTTCATGTACTATTAAAAGAGACTTAGATGCATCAAGCTATTAGTACCCATTGCTGTTGTTTTTTCTTTCATGTGTATAGTTGTTCTCTATGCATGTATGCCTGTGCATCAAATGTGTGCATGGTGTACATAAAGGCCAGAAGAGGGCAAGGATCCCCTAGGACTGGAGTTCTAGGGGGCTATGAGCCTAGCATAAAGGTGCTGGAATCAAACCCAAGTCCTCTGGAGCAGCCTGTGCTCTAAAAGGCTGTGCCATCTCATCTCTTCAGTCCCACTAATACCTAATGTACTCAAGACAAAGCTAAAGCCTTAAAGTAACTGTTAGTTTTTATGCTACACAGCATAAAAAAACAGTGCCCTTAGTATTTTACTACAAACAAGGCCATGCAAGTAAACTATTAATACTATGAACCACGGTACCCAGAAGAAGACTACTTTGAGGCAATGGTTTTTCTTTTCCCATTGGGCATTTTGCTTCTCACTGATGCTTGTTGGAACTGCAGGGAACAATATGCAAAGTGCCAACCAGCCAGCCAGTTTGTTAGCAGCCAGGACAAGTATAAATTACTAAGATAGTCACTGGAACAGAAGTAATTGTTATGTCATGTGAATCCGCCTCCACTGACCACATCACGGCAGAGCCAATTGTTAGAGATAAATGTTAACTCAGAAGGCACTTTAAGCTTAGTCTCCAGTTATAAATGTTTTATATTCTCCCAAATTGATCAGATGAAACTTATTTCATTTTCAAGAGAACAAGTTATTCAAGATTAAAACGTAACCGCATGTTGAAAATTGACTGTGGATGTGGTATAGACGTGTTCAATTGTTATTACTGAAACCTTAATCACTGACTAAAATTATAAATGCCACCCACCATCAATTAAAATATTATAATTCAGGTGTCTGTAAATTTCAGACTGTTGTTTGCAGAAATACTCTGATTGCTTTGTCAAGGCAATCTTTGTGAGGCTTTTATTCCAACTTCTGAAGTGATCGTGACAGCCTCGACTATCATGGCTTTGTATTTTAAATCCTTGAGAAAGATTACTTCCTTCTCCCCTCTGTCAATGCTTCTATTTCTGATTAGTGTGTCATCATCTCTTGGGAGGAAAGTAATTCTTCAGAGCAGGTCAGTCAGTCCTTAGTGTGCAAATTCAAAAGCACAAGGCATGTAGTATTCTTATATTAAACTATGCCAGGGCAATACTGTTGAAAAGCCCTTAAGATATAGTTCAATGGGCATCCATTTGAATGATCAAAAGTAAGAATGTATGCACCTAACTTCAAACAAGTCAAAGGTCAACAACCTTAGTTTTTGAGACTAGCAGTTGGCTGTCTCACAGATGGGAAAGGACTATGCATAAACGTAAATGTTCCTGGGAGGAGGGTGACACCTGACTGTCTTATGTAACAACACTGTTATTTCAGAGAGTGCTTTCTAGTTAGCGTTTCTTCGTTTCTCTAGCACCAAAAGCCACATAAAAAGTCCTTTAACTAAACTCAGAACAAGAGGGTAGGGGTGGTAACAAAGGTGAGAAGATATATCTCAAGTTAAAAGGCGGTCTCCTGGTGCCAATATAGAACCCCATTCCCTTCTCAACAGATGGCAGACAACTATAAAAAGTTCCTGTCTTTGGATTGGTGGCTGCCTGCAAACTAGAATAACCCAGGAGCTTAAAACACAATCCACATCCGATCAACTGAGTTACTTTCTGGAGGCATTTCAACCCCTCTTCTGGGCAATTCTAGCATCCAAGCCACCCTGAGAACCATCATACAGACAGCAGACCACAGTTCTTTACAAGACCACAGAGTACACGTAAGAGTCACATGGGCAGCCGATGACACAGTCCACCAGACAGGAGCATAGTGCTTTGACTCAGAGATGCAGTTGGTTAGAATTGTATATACTAGCTTATTTGACTCAAGTGTACTTTTAGACAGGGTCTCATGTAGCCTAGGCTGGCTTCAGACTTGCTATGGCTGAGGATGACCTTTGCACTTTTGATCTTTTTGTTTTTTACCTCAAGCATGCTGGGATTATAAGCATATACAAACATGATCAATTTTATGCAGTACTTTCAAATTCAGGGCTTCCTGTTTGCTAGGCAAACACTTTACCAAAGAAGGTATACATAACTAGCCCCTAATTATGTTTCCAGACAGGGTTTCTCTGTATTGCTTTGGAGCCTGTCCTGGAACTTGCTCTGTAGACCATGCTGGACTCAAACTCACAGAGATCTCCTTGCCTCTGCCTCCCAACGCCCTGCACTTCTTTATTTTTTTTAAAAACAGGGTCTCACTATGTAACCCTGGCTGGAGTGAAACTCAAGGTGTAGAATTGGCTCGGCTTGAACACATAGACCCATGTGCCTCAAGAGTGAGTGCTGGGATTAAAATTGTGTGACGTCATACCTGGCCCGGCTATACTTTTTGACTAACATCTCTATATGCAAAAATGTAAAGAATGGATCACACATGCATATCTTAATAAGTTATAAATTATCATTTTATAGTAATACATGGATATTATGAGTTGCCCACACAATTAAAATAGATTAAATAAATAAAGTCACTATTCATTCTAAAAAATGAAGACTGAATTCAGAGATCTGGGGCTTGTTGACCAGCCAGCCTAGCTGAATCAGTATAAGCAGGTTTAGACTAGAGACCATGTCTCCTCCCCTCCCCCCAAAAAAGATGGATAGTAACTGAGCAAGAAAGATTCAATGTCAACCCTCTGGCTTTCACATGTACACACATACATGAGCATCCCCAAATATAACCTCCCTCCACCAGAAAAAAAGCAACCAATAAACTACCTTATTATTTACATTCAAAATATAGTGATCTGGAAAGAATAAAAACAGTGACCTATTTTTAGGACACTTAGTTTTCAATAATATTGCAAACTCAGAAAGTTTATACTGTCAATAGCTAATATAGCAAGGTACAAAACCCATTTATCTTCACAGTCAAAGCTGTTAGCTCTAGGCCTTGGTGGTGGTGGGTGTATGGCAGGGGCCTGCAGGCTACATTTCCAAGGTTTTATTGTTAGCTGGTTTCCAGCTGCCCTTCTGGTGGTGGGAAAGGGGATTTTCTTTACTTTCCTTCAGCAGATCTCTGGTAGCTAAACTTTCCTGTCATGACCATTTTGTAGTCATAGACTATCTGACAGCTGATTCTCTATACTAAATCCCCCTTTTCTTTAAGTACCTGGAGCTGTTTCAATTCTCAAGAAAGACACAACTGAGTCATCAACAAAGACAGAGAAGGACAAGCCCCACTTACAGTGATATTGATAGTCTCCATTTTGAAAAGAGCCATCTTCTGATTAGCTTATCTTTTACTTGAGAGTGACTGATAAATCATTGTTTTTCCACTTTCTTATTCACAGATATTTACTACCTAATAGGTTTTAAGTATGATTAGTATCAACTCAAGAAGCTAATAATGAGACCGCAGTGAAGTGCTCCAAGGCTACAATTTCTACTCTTTTGCTGACTAGCTTAAGAAGTGACAAAGGCACAGATTGATTGACAGGACTGATTTCATACAGCGGACATTTTCTGGGGTTGGGGTATTTAGCTGTAACAATCTTACCTACCATGGGCAATAAAGCTAACAAGAAAAGGACTATAGATTTTGTGCAATTGTATAACCTTGCACTTTCCTTTTTAAAACCTCAACTACTAAATAAATCACCAAGTCACATGACACAAACCTTTGAAAATATTTCATTATATTGACTTAAATTTTATGAAAAGTTTTATTATTTGACCTTTAAATTGTTCACTTTAAACCATGTTGATTTCTCAGCATTTTAAAAATTAATGTTTCTTTTGAATAAATAAGCAAGGTTTGTCACAGTATAACAGTAATTTCTATAACTGCGATTACACTAGAATGTAATTGGTTTTAAAGCTATTCAGGCTCCTCTGACCATTCTGTTCTGTTACTATAGAAAACAATCACTAAATACTAAAATGCTTTGTCTCTATATAAACAAAGTCTCAATACAAAATTATTAGATAACTCATTACACTCATTTATAACATAACAATCCTAATAAAGGCATGGTGTGGAGCTGGAGAGATGGCTGGCTCAGAGGTTAAGAGCGCTGGCTGCTCTTCCAGAGGAACTGAGTTCAATTCCCAGCAACCACACACATGGTGGCTCACAGCCATCTGTAATGAGATCTGGTGCCCTCTTCTGGCCTGCTTTGCAGGTGTACATGCAAAAAAAAACACTGTACATGTTTTTTTTTTTTTTTTTTTAAAAAGCATTTCGCTTGAACTGAAATGTCACTTGCTGTGAAGAGACTATTAAAGCAAATGTCCTTTATATCTTAATGAAAAATTCAGAACACAACGACTGTATGAATTTTAGCAGTAAAAAGAGCGCAATATCAGCGTATTCTAACACACAACTCTAATGCCAGGCTGAGTGTGTTAATGTGACGAAGAAAATGACCTAGGCAGAGGTCTGAGCTGCCCTACAAAGCTCCAGCTTCAATCCTCCTAGAGGGGACTTGCCTTTCATCTTAGGACTAATGGTCTGTGGCAGCCCTGGGTGGGGGGGTATTTGCAGTGGAATTAGGGGGAAGTGGTGGCTAATACTACAGAAAGATGTGCTCTCTACTTCAAAGGAAATGCTCACCACGCCCCAACTTGGGATCTACAGAAGGCATAAGCAGAGAACAGGAAGAGGTGGTGGCTCAGGAAGGCAGGTCACCAGGGGATTCCTTCTCAGGCACAGGAGACATCTCCGACATGGGCTGCTACGATACTCTTTCCCAGAGCTCATCCCCTTCCTACTCCAAAGGGAGAATTCAACTGCCTTTCATTTACTTGTCTCAATCAACAGACAGCAGGAAACAGCTCTCTTAGATTCTACTGCTGATTCTACTTAGCTCCTCATCCTCTTCTTAGGTTTGCTTCCCCCTACAGCACAGCCAGGGTTATACAGCTGAACTGCTCCTGCTCCCTTTCATCTGGTCGGTCGGTGTAGTGAACTGTGATGTGTGACTAGATCGGAGTCTTCTGCCCACTGAAGATGCTTGTTGTTACCCTGGAGGCATTTGTTATCTCACACAAAATACGCACAAGGGACACCATTCTGGGGCACAGAGTGTCAAGTCTGGGTGCTTAGGGCCCATCTTACAGAGGTTTAATTTTTCCCAAAATGAGACCAAAAGGAAATCAGCCAACAGCATACACAGGACACAAGATTTTATCTGTTAGCTATTACTTAGACTTGTGCTTACCTTCAGGAACTCATTACCTTTCCCTATGCTCCTTTAGACTGCTAACACTCTACAGTTAACACAGATAGTAGGTAAGCATTTGGTTTCTGTTTTTGTTGGGTTTCTATTTCTGTGATAAAACACCATGATCCTAAGCAACTTGGGGAGGAAAGGGTTTATTTCCTCTTACAACTTGCAGTGCATCATCCAAGGAACTCAAGGTGGGAACCTGGAGGCAAGAACTTATGAGGAGGCCATGGAGGAATGGTATTTACTGGCTTGCTCTCCATGGCTTCTTCAACCTGCCTTCTTACAGCACTCAGGACCACCAGCCAAGAACAGCACTGCTCATAGTGGGCTGGGTCTTCCCACATCAATCACCAATCAAGAAAATGCACCACAGATTGGCCATAGGCCACTCTAGTGGGGGCATTTTCTCAAATGAAACTTACGCTTCCCAAAGGACCCAAGCTTGTATGCAGTTGACATAAAATAAGCCAGCACAGCTCCTAAGCCAGACTGCTTGGGTTGAATATTCGAACTGGTCAGTTTTAGTCATGTAATAGTTCTACTTCAAAAGGTAGTAAAGATGATGACAAGCCATTTTTTTAAGAACTCATAAAAGTAACGGATGAACGGATACACACACACACTACATATATATGTATGTGTGTGTGTATACACATATGTTATATATGTAGGGTACATAAGGACAATTTATATCTCTATTATAAATTGTATTATACATACACTTCAATAAAAATGTATAGAAATTGTTCTACATATACTTCAAAGTGGGCAGTTCCCACTTTGTATAGGAGTGAAGAACCATAAAAATGCCCGTGACACCTGAAATAAAGCAAGTGTTATTATCTCTCTGTAAAACCTGATCAAGAGCCATTTGGACAGAGGCTCCCTTCTGCCATGTAGCTCCAGATATAGATCAAACTCCTTTCTATGCTTAGCACACACAGGTCACAGCGAGCTGCATGATTGTGAGGCACTGAGAAGAACAAGGACACAGAAAACTTACATTGTATTGATGGTTAGCCACAGGCTTGTAATTGGTTGTTACAACTTTGTCCAGCTGTTGTGATAGCCTTACTGGCTTGGAAGACTCTTCTATTTGCAATCTGAAAAACAGAAGGCATTGTTAATACACTGCTTAATAAATAGTTCTGTAGAGTTATGCCAATTACTAGTAACATGTAAGCAAGTAAGCTTAGATAGCATAGTAGCTTTACCATAATAGTTAGAAACACAGAAGAACGACTACAATTACTAGCCCAATAAGGTAAACATACAAGTTATGTCATTGTAGTCCTGAATGTAGTTCTGAAACTGTGTAGCACGGGCAAACCAAACTCTTCCAGCAAAACAAATTGTCTTGACTGATTATTGTCTAAAATTCATCAAGTGATCAATCTAAAGCTTCCACTATCCTGACAAGAAATAAAGGTGAGTTAAAAAAAAAAAATTACATCAACATTCACTGTTCAGTGACTAATGGCTACCTGATCAGACACTGATGCTCAAAGCATTTTTGTCACCACAGAAACCTCGATTGGACAGCAGTCTAGAACACTGCACAACTCTATATGAATTAAATGTGACTCAAAATACTGCCACCAGAAAGAAAAAAAAATCACAAACATATCACCCCATGTATATCATGAAGTCACTACTTGGAGGAGTTCCTGTATCTTTTTAAGCAACGACTTTAGGATTTTTATCGTGTCCTCATCTGTATACTAAATTTGCTTCTTAAAAATTAATCCATTTGGTTTATAAACACAGTAAATCCAAAAATCTGTTTTAAGAGGGGAAAGTACAGCTCACAAAAGTGACTACTTTTAAAGACACAGAGGGTATCATTGTACCTTTAGATTTTTCGTCAGCAGGGTATCATAATACAAAATGTAACATACCTCAGAAAATTGCCTACCATACCTGGCTAACTTATAATTGAAGAATAAGCAAGAAATAAAATATTTTTGGAAAAATACCTGGGCTAATCCCTCATGAATCTCACCGAGAGATCCACTCAAGTATGCAGTGAGGGCTTTGAGGAATTAAGGGATACCACTAAGAAACCAAGACCCAAGCTAGAAAATAGCTTGGCTGTTGGAGGTCTGTGTGTGCGCATGTGTATGTCAGTATGTGGGGGCCCAAAGAGGCCAAAGGAGGGTGCTGGACTGCATAGGGCTGGAGTTTTCAGTGGTTGGGAACCAAACTCAGACCCCTGGAAGAACAGTATGTTCTTTTAACAGCTAAACCACTTGTCTCCAACCTCAGTTTTGTGTGTGTGTGTGAAAGATGGGAAAAGATAAAAATTAGCACATTTTAATACCTTTTTTGCTGAGTTTTCTTAAATCTCTATAATGAACACCTATGACTTTTATAATCAGAAGAAAAATGAAAAAAAAAAAAAAAAGAAAGAAAGAAAAAAAAAGAAAATACCCCAATTTGGTTAAAGGGTCAACCCAGACTTAACTAATCAAATGATGTAGTAAGTTAACAGCAGTCCTGAAAAGGGCAAGCAGCATCAGTCAGCTGACAATGATATGGAGAGAAGGGGACTCAGAGGTGTATGAGGGTAAGTCCATACAGTGTAGCTCAGGGTCATAGGAAGGCAACAAAGCAACTCTTCTAAGGGAAGCAGTCTTAAAAGGACTGGAAGGAAGACCTTTTGATCTTAAGTGATGAGTGATGGAGACAGACAAAAATGTCCACAAAGTGTAGGATCTAGGCATGTATAACTCCTCGGCAAACAAAACAGGCACAATTAAGTGGCAGTGCAGTTCTGAACACAACACCGGTGCTCTGACTGTAGACCCCCCCCCCCCCAGGGTGGAGATCCCTACGCTGCCACCAGCCGACTATCCCCGCGTCAAGCCCCCCCCCCATGATTCTTCTGGGGACATCAGGGAGGAGACAGCACTAGCCCCTTCTCTTTTCTACACCAATCACTCCCTTTACCCACATCTCAAGTCCCGAGTTTCAGTGCATTTAGGCACGTGCTCTTTATAAATGGCAGCTTATTCTTGCCACACCTGCATCCTGCAGCTCTGCGCTCTGATTCATGTTCACGAGGCACACTTTCCTTTCAATTCTAAAAGTCATTTTCATCATCAGAGTTTGTGTCACATTTATTCTCAAGACATCAAATATTTTAAATAAAGGAATACACTGTTGTTTTCTTTTAAAGAAAGAGGTCATACAAAAATCTAACCTTTCTATTATACATTAAAAAAGTCAATTCCCAGAGTTTTGTTTTAATTAAAAGGGGACATCCTATGACTAGAAATTCAAAAGGTTAATAATCTACAGACTGAAAACACAACACATTTCAAAAGAACTTAATCTTAAAATATTTTCATTAACCATGAATAGTTTAAAATAGTTTAACAGGCTTTTTTATTTAACACTAAATAATTCATTCAACATTATCTCATGATGTGCCAGAACAATTTGCAACTCTATTTTATTATTAACAATGCTCTAAATTAAACACTGCTGGCTTCACCACATTTCAACATCAACTCAAGGATTATCTGGCTTTTTTGATATAATTTGAAAACACTCAGTTCATAAAGAAGAGAAGCCAACTACAGACACAGGTGTTAGGCTGAAGGAGGAGACAGATGCATGCTTCTGTGTCCTGACTGTCTCTATGACTAGGTCTTATTTTTTCCAGAACACTAAAAAGTATAGTGTTTTTCCCAAGACTCTGTAATCAGGAATACAATATTCTTCATTTTGCTTTTTTTTTTTTTTTTTTTTTTTTTTGGAGAAAAGGTCCCAACATGTAGACCCACCTGGCCTCAAACTCACAGAGTTCCACCTGATTTTGCCTCTCAAGAGCTGGGAGATTCAAGGTGTATGCCATCATGCTTGGTGTAAGAAATACAATATTATTGATCAGCTTTGTTTTATAAATCACTCAACAGATACTTGGCACAATTTCCTAATACATCTATACAGAACAATTAGTTCAGAAAAAAAAAAAACCTGCACATTGGAGAAATCATAAGTTTTAAGATATTTTCTCTAATCACAAAGAAAGTGTTTGAAAACATGCTTATAATGCTATAGGAGCTACAAATCATACTCATTTGTCATAGTACATGACTTTTATGCAGTCAAACTTTTAATTTTTAAATTTATAACTATGTATATGTGTGTCTGTGGGTGGGTGGAAGCCAGAAGAGGGTGTCAGATACCCTGGAGCTGATGTTACAGCAAGTCTAGGTTGCCCCAAGTGGATACTGGGGAATGACCTCTGATCTTTTGGAAGAGTAGCATGTTCTGTTAAATGTGAAGCAATGTCTCCAGCCTGGAAAATCAGAAATGAAAGCAAAACAGTAAACAAATATGTGCTTTCAAACAGTGCTCCTGGGGATGGAGAGATGGATTCGCACATACTGAGCATGCAGAGTGCACACTATTCTCACAGAGAACTCAGCACCCAAAGGCAGCTAATAACCATCTGTAACACCAACTCTAAGGAATCTGAAACCCTCAGGCCTCCACTGGCACCTGTACTAATATGTACACACTCACTGATACACCCAATTCAAACCCAAACAACAACAACAACAAAAGTGGCTTCTCTAACTGCTACTCACACAATGAATGAATGAAAACGCCCCTCCTGCACCCCCCCCCAGGCTCACAGGGAGTCACACTATTAGGAGGTGTGGCCTTGTTGGAGTAGGTGTGGCCTTGAAGTTTCAGACACTCAAGCCCGCCCCAGTATGTTTCTCCTCCTTCCTGCTCCCGAGGATCCAGATGTAGAACTAACTCTCAGACCCTGTCCAGCACCATGTATGCATGTGCTTCACCATGCTTCCTGCTGTGATGAAAATGGACTAAACCTCTGAACTATAAGCCAGCCCCCAATTAAATGTTTTCCTTTACAAGAGTTGCCATGGTCAGTGTCTCTTCTTAGCAACAGAACACTGATTAAGACAGCCATACTGTCCTAGTTCTCTGGGGTCAACAACTCCCTTACATGCATATTAAAATTAAAAATCAATTTAGTTACAGCTTGGGGCAAAACCAGAAGAGAGAAATCTGTTTTGGAGTAGGCATGTGGAACTGAATTGGGGATCCTATGCATGGCATACCCTCAATCCCTTTAGTTTTCTAAAGGAACCCTAAACCCAAGGGCCTTGTTAACAGGGATGGGTGGGTGATGGGAGACTGAGGAGGCTACCATACTAATGCACAGGAAAGTATACTGTTTGCATTAGGCCCTAATGACTAGGGTGAAGCTTAAGGACATAGAATATAGTCAAATTTAAAAACTTATTTTGAGCTGGGTGGTGGTGGCGTATGCCTTTAATCCCAGCACTCAGGAGGCAGGGGCAGGCAGATCTCTTTGATTTCAAGGCTAGCCTGGTTATAGAGCGAGTTCCAGGACAGGCTCCCAAGAGAAACAGGCTACACAGAGAAACCCTGCTTGGAAAAACCAAGAGTTCTTACTCCATGCTAGAAACTGTTAAGAGTGTTACTCACACCCACTGTACTTTTTCCTCATAGTATGCAAAACTAGATCATCCCACTAAATGGTCCATACAGAACACAGAATTTAGCAGAAAAGAAACAACCAAGCATTTCTTTTTCTTACGACACAGGTCTCATGCAGCCTAGACTGGCCTTGACCTTGTTCTGAAAAGAGGCTATCCTCCATCCTCCTGTTTTCACAGGCGTGCACTGCTATGACCATTCATGTGGTGCTGCAGGCTTAATGGTTCACCTTGAGTCCGGCAATTCCTTTATGATAGTTATCAGCCCACAGATAACTAATCCAGGTCTACTCAAACACAGACTAGAGTATGGCCGGGAGAACACCCTCCATCCACATGATGTTCATTAAGCCAGCATCACTAGTCATTAGGTCATAATCATGATTAAAAATTAAAAAAATTACTTAAAGATCCTCACTACTATGCTTTTACTAAGAGTTATTTGATATAAATTCAACTTGCAGATTAAATTACTAAGCATACTTTTAAGATGTAAAGTTCATGTTAAAAATAGTCACATACACAGGTTAAGATCTACTGAACTTAGTTAAAAAAAAGAAAAAACTACTCAAAATGTCAATCCCGACTTAAGCTGTTGTCTA